TTCTCAATAAATTTATTTTATTATTATTATATATTATTATTGTATATATTGTATTTATATTGTATTTGGGTAAAATATGGGAGTTTGTATCTATGAATTTGATTGTTGAAAATGTTTCAATTGGAAGGTAAAGTACTATATAACAATACCGTTCTGAAGCTGCATCGAACGTAGCTTCTAATCTAATGACTGTAAATTGAAGAAAAGTTGATAACTTAATGACTACACTCCTACAATAGCTCAATATCTACACAAAAAATACAACTATTGTGCATTCCAATTGCGAAAGTTATTTGGAGTGTAGAACCTTTTTTTCCGGTATGAGTTTGACTTCTCTATATAAAATACAATAACTCGTGAATATATTCCCTTGAAAAACCTAAGAGCTGTGGAAAGATAGGCAGAATTATAAATTCTCTGCATGACTATCAATAGGATAACTATCTGATTCATTTCATTTTGCTAATTACATCCAGTATATGAAGAAATTTTTCGATCACTATTTGTTTCAATGTATTGCAACTGGAACGCCACTGAAAGTGTTGATTTTATTTTCTGCGATATTGGAGAAGTTTCGGAACAGAAAGCTACTTTCAGTTCTCTGAAAATATATCTGAACTGAAAACTGTTAGCAAGGCATATTGGGTAGAAGTTTCTGAAGTCGTATCATATTTCACAGAAACAAAATATTCTACACTGATTTAAGTCCGTCCGCATGGACTTGTTTAGGAGAAATTGAGCTCGAAAGTTAGAAAGGCATGAATCTAATTACAAGAATGGTATAAAATATTGGCAGAGAATGTACATTGTAAAGGAATCTGAATCACAAATGTACCTTCGGTATCTAGTTGGTCCCTCAATTTCTCCAGATACTTAATCCTGCTGCTCAAATATTTCGATTTTACTGTTTTACTATACAAGAAATTCGTAAGTCTAGCAACATTTATGGCCTAGTAAGGCATTTATTTGAATACCGAACTGGAATTTGAAAAATGAAATAATATTTACAAGAATCAAAACAGAACATCAAGATGGATCATAAAAACGACAAATATTGACTACTAACTCTTATATTTATAGATCTAACTCTTTATATCCTTAGGCTCCTCCTCAATAGTGCGACCTGTTCGGGCACTTATACACCATTTATACTACCTAGCGACACCTATTTCTCTGTCGTTCCTATATTCTCGTAGGAAAGCAATATGAGAGGACTCATGAATTCCTTGAAGTACGAAACAATCTGCCTTGTGCTTGTACTCAATCTAAGATTTGTTTCAATGTCATCTACTATTGACTATACTATAGAGATTTTATACCATGAATAAAAATTGATTTCTGAAAATAGAAATCTGAAATGTGTTCAATGTACACATTATGAAATGTGACTGCAGAACGAAGAATTTTATTTCTGGTTAACGTTTCGCAACACTTTGTAGCTATATATAAATATTTATATATATATATATATATATATATATATATATATATATATATATATATATAATATATATATAAATATATATATATATATATATATATATATATATATATATATATATATATATATATATATATATATATATAATTCGTTTAGTTTTCTTGTGCTTTGCTTAATAACATAAGTGTTAAGGTTTCTTGGGAATGAGCACAGTTTAAAATTGATGGAATAATTGTTTATTCACATATGTTTCGTCTTTAGGCCTTTTTCAAAAATATTACAGGTTCTTGTTAGTTGGAAATTGATTTTAATTTCACGAATCTTTCGTAAAACTTTGATTAGTGCGAGAATTCTTGCGCTAATCAGTAAGCGCACAAAAAAAAACTAAGAAATACAGACAATCTCGGAAGGAAGTCGCCACATTTCAGGTTACCGCATTTGTTCTCTCCGGATTCGCAGATTCGGAAAACTACTTCGCCCGTGAAATGACTATTTATCCTTCAAGAATGCTCTAAGCCGAGACGTTGAACAATATATAAATAATGTTAACATTACATGTTGAACGTGTATGAGCACCTTAAGCTCGCACGTGTAAACAACTATATTGTTTTCTTCGAATGCACCTGTGGTTTATCGGAAATGTTACAAATGGAGAATACTCGAATATTACACTATATAACAATAATCGAAATTAATTAATTACATTCACGAAATAAAAAATGTGTCCTCGCACAAAAGAAAAACTGAAACGCCGGAAAACCCAGATTCACTTTGATCCCAAAATCATATTACTTTTCGTTGTAAAACATAATCTTGGAAACAATCTACGAGAGCGATTGAAAACGTGATTTCATACTCAATGAATGATTAACTATATTCGTCAAAGCTTTTTTTAAGATAATATCACGACATCATGAAAATCATCAATGATTATTTCCAACAGTATACCAGAACCATACTTTTTCACGATCTGTTTCAAACACTTGAACTCATGATTTACACTTCATTCAGTACATAGCATGACGCGTTTCGTCGTTAAAAACGACTTCTTCAGATGCTTACAGTATAATACTGTAATAATTATTCTGTTAGCATCTGAAGAAGTCGTTTGTAAGGACGAAACGCGTCATGCTATGTGGTGAATAAAGTGTAAATCATAAGTTCAAGTGTTTGAATTTAAGTTTATATTCAGCTAAAATGAGATCAAAGTACAAAACGTTCGATAGCCGCCGTTACATTTCTAACTGACAGATTGGACAGTTAGGCAGGTAAAAACCGAAAATTTGAATATATATATATATATATATATATATATATATATATATATATATATATATATATATATATATATATATATATATATATATATATATATATATATATATATATATGTTTATATATCTATATATACATAAATAATTTCCGCAAGAAGGTAAGCTTTAAATGAAAGCAGGCTCTATACATCAACGAACATAACTTGTCAACTCAATTCGGATTTGTCATAAAGTCCAGACGTAAAAACCATTCGACATAAGGCAGAAAAAGAAATAAAGACAGCACGTGATCAATATATCTAGATACCCGCCAATCCTATCGAATGAGTCCAGCGTGATGATGGGAAAATGGAAAGAGCAATAGAAGGAGATGTAGTGAATTACACGCGCGTCCTCGATTCGGCGTAATCGCCAAGAACATATTCCAAGTATCCCTGTGACAGTTGTTTACTTCTCGGAGTGGAAGGTAAAAGATACTCAAACTCCACCTCACTGACTCCGAGATATTTCATTGGGATGTTATAGCTGAGTGCACGCAACATTACATGTTGCGTTAGTACATACTTTGTTAAAATTGCATTGATAAGATGTATTCAAATATGAAACTTATATAAATATGTAAAAATAGATATTAACCTAACTATTGAATTTTTTTTTTGATTCATTTATTTGTTGAGCATACAACACTCAATAGTTCCAGTCAGTTACAGAGTCGAATATTACAATAAACGCTGCAACTCATTTCAAATTAAACTGGAAAGAGAACATAAAAATACAAAACATATGGACGATGTTGCCCTGAGAGCCAACTAAAATGGAAGCTTATGCATGAAACTTCACCCAAATCTTTTGTCTCAAAACTTTATATCTAAACTATATAAGACGAGAGCACGTCTGATATTATCAGGCTTGTATATAGAAATGTCAATAACTCTATGAAGAGGCTCAATGGCACTATGAAGTGTAAAAAAGGCCAGAATATCAGTACGAGTCAGGGGTGGATTACAAGTTTTTGTATTTAGATAAGGTTATCTGAGAGCATGGGAATTTATGATGTGAAGAAGAACAGAGCGTTAAAAAAAATACAATTGAAATTTAACATAAGTCGCCAATATTTCCAAATCTGGTAATAAGTAATTCATGAGGTACTGAGTAACTGATACCTCATTCTAGATAAATCACGTCAGAGCAAAATTAAAAATATTTCAGAAAACGTCTTTGTGTAGATGCAACATTTCTCATAAAAGAAACGTATCCTGTACCCTAATAAATAGTAGTATGTTCCAGTTTTCGTGGTATTCAAATATTGAATACCTACTTTCAGCCGAGTTACTTCACTTGCACTTGCCGAAAGTGATCTTCGTTACGGCATTTTAGCATGGGGTAGTACTCTTGAAAGTTATATGAATCCTTCGGAAATTATTCAAAACCGTTTGCTAAAAACGATCTTTTCAGGACCATATACATATTCATCAAATTAGTTGTTATATAATGAAAGCGTATACCTGATGTTAATAAGAAGTGGGCATAATTCCACCTCATAGTTATGGTACTAAAAAGTTGTGCAATCCCCACAGAATATTAGCATTAATCTGTCAAAGATCTCTTGCATTTTAAGGACACAGGCTTTACAAGTGTGTATCCATCGAATTGAATAAATGAAAAATACCAATGTAGTCAAAAGTATGCTAGAAGCGTTTCTGTTGAGAGAGAAATGGAAATTAATATATAACTGTGTGTAATAGATCATTTTGTAGCGTCTGTTATACGCTTCGGTGTTAGCAGTTTTAATATATAGTTTTAAAACCTTATTGTGTCACTTATTCATATTTGCCAATTACTACTTATTCATTTGTGTATATAATATAACATTGTATAACTTGTTCATTTGTGTTTCAATTACCGATTTATTTGTATATTGAACAATTTACTGAATTCACTGAATATTTATTTCTGATATATAAAATATGGAATCATAATTTTCTTTGAAATTGTGTTAGTTCCTCATACATTTTACCGATATCGATCCTTTAATAAGTATCAACTTGGTAAATAACATTCAATAAGTTGATACCTATCAAATTAAAATAATTAATTTATAAAAGATACAACTTCTGTATATTTTGACAGGAAAAAATGAATCATTATTATATTATTTTATTTTTTTCTGATTCAGTGCACCTACAGTTTAACGCCGGTTCCGAACGGTCAATGGGCTTGTAATCAATGTACATTACCCAGCATATATCATCCTTCAACTACTTCAAATCATAGACAAGAACTTATATCCATGCCATTCGCCGGGGCTCGAACCCGAGTTCCACCGCACCATAGTCGGTTATTTTCCCGACTGAGCCACACAGACCGGCATTATTATATTATATTATTCTACTAGATTCAGATCGAGACTGCCAGTTGAAATTTCTATTCACAACACCAGATGTTTTGTAAGAAATGGAAGCAATGTTATTCATATGAGCAGCAAAAGTTGATTATGTGTCAAACGTCACCCCAAATCCAAGAATTTACATCAATCCTTGCAACATGAATTCAGAATTCAATATGACATTGTATTCGAATATTCTACACTATCAAAATCGCTTATTTCCTGTCTATACAAATATTTGCACACTCCACAATCTCAGTGATATATTTTCTCAATCGTTTTCAAACTTTCAATTGAATTATATTGATTTTATTGACTCCAATATATTTTCTAAGGATATGCTTCGAAATTCTTCTGAGAAAATTAAGCTGATGAAGAAATTCCTCCAGCAATGAAGCCAATTGAAATTGGAGAACGAAATTATTTCTATAAAAAAACGAAGAATATTACGAATGATTATGTTATTCATGAAGTTCTGATTTCTGAAATCAACTTGGAGAAGCATTTGTCTTTTTTCTACACTATCTGATATTCTTCCAATTAATCTACTCAATGAAGTAAAATATGAAAAATAATGAGTAAAAATTAAGACTAAAGGTGAGATATCTTTTACTGTACCCTTATCCCAAAAGTTCAGTGAAAATTATAAAATTCCGAAATGAAAATATTTTTCGAACCTGAATTGGAGATCTGTTTTATACAACAATGTATAGTAACATTGAAAATGTTTGGCTAAAGTCCACAAATTCACAGAAGTTACAGGCTACTTACTCAATCGAGTGCAAATTTTGAACTATAATGGTTTGATATCTCAAACTATTCGACTGAGTTTCGTGCAAGTAAACGATCAATATTGTCGAGTATATTCACCTCAAATACAAATTTATTTCAGAATGGTGTTAACCGATGTAAGTGTTCTACAATTTGCTTGAACGTATAATGGTCATATACTGGCACTTACATCCAACAGCATATCGAAGCAACAAGGTAGTCAGCTGAACAGGTAAATATAAATATATCCAACGTTGTTTTTCGAGTTCCAATTACTGAACCCCCAACGTGCCATCATCGTCTCTTTTCTAGGTCTTATCGATTGCCCCAGTTGTTAAAGACAGGACGTACAAAGCGCCCCCGCACAGTCATCGCATGCACCAATCTGGCGCCCTGTAGAACATTTACTTACCTAACACTCTACGTATATTTGATCCAATTTGCGATGGAGTAATCTGATGCACTCGGGAATACGGAAACGGGAAATGCGAGTAGGATTTTTCCGAAGTAATTGGGAAAAAGGATTCGAACTGTGGCAGTCGTTTCCAAGAAGAAGGGTCTGGTGCATCGCCGTATGATGAATCCTTTCAAATATTCACTATAGAAATTATTAACTACGATATTGGACTTGAATTCTGGAGAAATAAAAGCTCTGAAGCTAATTGGGAAAGAGAATTCAAGGCAATACTATGAATATTCCTATCAGGATTATTTATAATGACATTGCTATTGCTCGGCCAGAAATGCAATACCTAGATATCCAGATTGAGTCAATTTATTCATGCATTATATTGAAAATTGAACGAGATGATCTTTATGAAAAAAGAATGTAAAGGTCCGTTCAGTAATATTTTTGTTGTATGACTAATATCAGAACAAATACGCATCGCGCGTGTTTTAACTGAGACTTCTTCTTCGAATGCAACATCAATGAATGAATTCATTGTTTGACGTTCAGAGAAAAAGAACTGAGAGATAATTTCGAAGAGATATACACACAGAAGTGGTTTTCCGAAGCATGAATTTGAAAAAAACATAAAATCAAAATCAATACGAATGGAAATACAAATGGATAAAAGGAAAAAAAAAGTTAATAGCAAAATGCTCAGTAATTAATTTTTGATATTCTTCGTCAGGTCTCTCACCTAGTGGAAAATGGAAACATTCTGTTCACCATAGTTGCCACACGATAAGAATGCACATCACACCTCCGTATGATGTGCTACGTACGGTGCAATGGTGCAGTAACTGTTGATTATTACATTAACCGTGTGAATTTCCAACCTCATAACAACGTTACAGTACGAATATTCAGGATACTAGTATTTGAATACCTTATATGGGTAAATCAGAAACATGTGATCAACTCTGAAGCTGACTTATACCTCAGACGCCACAGACAAATACGGTGTCACAAGCTTGCGCCTCGAGAAGTCGAAAACAAATCTTAATGCAGCGTTTTGTACTTTTTTTGACCTATATTTTTTATATTGGTTGAAAAACGCATAAACGACAGAGCTGCAAAAGTCGATATGTGGGTTAACCAGACTGTGAACCAATGTTCAAGATCACAAGGAAAATGCATTCTCACAGAGTATAAAGCCTTCAGTTTTAATTCCGAACAGTCCTATTTACTGAAGTAATACTATTGTAACCTAAGATTTCAAATGTTATTGACCTACTCCAAGATGTGATCATTCATTTTTTTCTAATATAAATCAATAATAGTACTGAAACAACTCCTCAATTTTTGATTTCCCATGAGTGAAATCTTTGATTCAGTAGAACTTATACGAAGGCAAATTTTTTCACCATCTGAAAATAGATTTTTGAGGTAGTTTATCTGTGAGATTCTTTCGACGTCAGCATTGGTTGCGATAGTTATGCATCATTGGCATTAAGATGATAGCGGCAGCTTCAAATTACGGATAGGAGATCAAAACTATATTTTAAGAAAAGAATTGGACCTAGTATATTACCTTGCGGGACTGCACGTATGAGCCGGTGTTGTGAGCATTTACCATTGCAATGTACGATTTGGTATCGATCAGTGAGATCACTCTCAAACCATTCACAAGTTTTTATAGAGAGACCTATAGATCTATAAGCTTGTAACTATATCTATCGAATCTAAGTTTCTCTTCACTTTGATCTTGAAATATCAAAAATGTCATCAAAGAGGCATAGCTCTTGCAAAATCATCTGTAAATTTTAATACAGCTCTTTGGTTATTATGTTAACGTCAGAATCTCGACTGACAATGGAACAGAATATTATTTTTATAAACATCAGTTGTAAATTGCATCTGAAGGAGTAGTAGTAGGTATGTGGCAAAGCAGGTCATGCTTAAATGTTCAAATATATGATTACAATTTGACTATCGTTTAAATATTATTATTTAGGTACTAATGTATATAAATATCTCATAAAAACAATATCTCTTAAAGTCTATACTGAAAATGGCGACTAATAAATATCTATATACAAATTTGAAAACTCATGAAATGGAATGTCTATATAATAGTTCCTACTGAGAAGTAGAAATTCTAAGTAGAAGTTCCTAAGAGAAGAGTTCCTAACTGAATTTCATTCTGTACTGAATTAATTTGTAACAATCACATTTGCGTTAGTTTTCACTGGCATTCTTTCATATTGTTATAGCTTTTGTTTCGAGTCAAAAATTGTCTTGTTATAAATTGTCAAAATCACAAAAATAAGTTGTTGATATGGTTGAATGCTTTAACTTGATGGTGTCTCTGTCTAAACTTGAGTTTTGTTTCTATCCAACAACATCACACGTATAATTCCTGAATCATGAAATGTAAATAGGCATAAAAATATTTGACAATTTGTTGCATTTCGGCTATGCAATATTTATGTGATCTACCTCAAATAACTTTCCAGTTATTCGAAGATACATTGCCTTTTCGTATTCAATGAAAAAGTCATAGGTGATTTGAAATTTCAGATTTTCATCCCAGTTCTGTTTTCCTTGAAATTTCGTGATGTTTTGCTTTAGTTTCATACAGTCTGATATGAAAAGCAATAAATTTATCACTTCAATATCTCCTGCTTTTTAATATCTCCTGTGCTTTATAACTTCTGTTTACTTCTGTGTATCCTTGTGTGCAATGTAATATTTGGTCACCTTATGCTTTAACTAATGAAGACAGAATAGAAAAAGTTCAAAAACGTTTTCTGAGGTTTTTACATTATAAAAGACATAATAGTTATCTATTTAAAATATCATATAGCTCTATGTTGATTAGCTTTAATCTGCAAAGATTGTCAGTGAGAAGAAATATTCAGGCTATTCTTTTCATTTATTATATTCTGAATTCCATCAAGTACGAAAATTGCAATCTTATAGATTTTATTCATTTGAAAGTTCCAAAAGTTTGGTTGCGTTGCTCCAGTTGGGATCTATTTCTTGTTGTTGAAAATGGTTCGTCTCCTTTAAATTGTATGTTAAGTATCTGTAACAAGCTACTGAACAGTAACAGAAACGTTGATTTTTTTAGTGATGATCTCAGAACCTTTAAGGCAGGTGTGGAAAATTCATTATAAATTTGTTTCTTTTTATATAGCAATTTTTATGATTTTTGTATGAGGTATTTGTATGTATGTATATGTTTAGTTTTAGTTTCATTAGTTGATGTTTATGGTAGTGATCTATGTTTTGGTTTACTACTAATCTGTCTTATATATAAGTACTGTATGGGTGTTTATAAGACATGCAAAATAAATGAATGAATAAAAAATAAATAAATAAAAATATATTTCATGCTCTTTTGGTTGATTCTAATCAAACTGTTTTTTCGGTATCTACTGCAGATAAAACAAATTTGACTTTTGTGAAATTTCTGCAATTTTTTCGGATCATCAAATCAATGCAAGGCACATGCAAGAAAACTAGCTGAGAAATTTATAACTGAACATATATTGGCGACTTATCGATGATCAATAAATGACGATAACTTTTCTAATATTCATCTCGAATGATATGAAGTTCAGCACTTCTGGGAAGTTGAGTTTACTTGAAGAAACTGTATAAAAATCTTCGAAGTAGTTTCGGAGATCCAAGTTAAACAAGCGACATGAAAAACTTTTTTCAGTGGAAAAGAACCAGTATTTTGAGTGGGACTTGGAAATACACTGTTTACAACTATATTTGATTTCATTTAGTACTTTTTGCATTATGTGTTCAT